TTCATCATTATCATTATTTTCTCGACTGTTCCATTATTTTCCTGCTATGAGTGAAACCATCCGGTATTTTTCTTTCTCTTTCTGGCTTATCTCACTAAGCATGATCTTCTCCAGCGCCATCCATGTTGCTGCAAAAGACATGTGTTTCTTTTTTCTGGTTGCTGAGAAATATTCCGTTGTGTACATGTGCCACATCTTTTTAATCCAGTCATCCATTTTTGGGCATCTGAGCTGTTTCCATGTCTTTCCAATTGTGAATAAAGTAGCAGTAAACATGGGGGTGCAGGTATCTTTTTGAATCAGTGTTTTTGTGTCTTTTGGGTAGATACCTAGGAGTGGGATTGCTGCGTCATAGGGAAACTCCGTGTGTAGCAGTTTGAGGACCCTACAGTTTTCTATAGTGGTTGTACTAGTTTGCATTCCCACCAGCTAAATTGCTTTTTATGGCCTGTTATAAACAACATTTGTATGTCAAACTTGATTTATTATTCATTTTCCCTCTTAATTAGTACTTTTTTAAAAGATTTATTATATTATGCATATTCCATTGGGATGTAGGCCAGCGGTGCAGGAGGTGAGAGGATTCACCTGAAACAGTGGTGAGCAGAACAGGTAGATTGAATAAAATACACTGCTGAGGGGAGCAGAAGGTGAGGGAGACAGCTGCAATGGCTGAGGATAGATTCATAGTGCTGACACTTAACCCTGTGCCACCAGGGATGCTTCTTAATTAGTACTTTAATTAGCCTAAGATAACTGATTTCTCACTGAGTTGTACTGGCCAAAGTAAAGTAACATTGCTCTAGTTAGCCTGCATTGTTTTCTTTGTAGATAAATGTGTAATTGCTAATTTCATTTATTGAATACAGTATTTCTTACTTACCCTCAGGAGTCTAGGGGTCCATCTCCACTCCTCATTAAGAACAATAGTTGCCCTTATTATTGAATGGAAGGTATAAAGTTGCTGACAGTAAAGCTGCTTATTGGCTTCCACCTGACATATGTTGTCTCTTGATTGTGTGTACAGCACTTTTATTCTGTTACTGGGAATAATGGGTTGTGTTATGTAGACTGATACATCCATTTTCTGCTCCACATACTTTTCACTAGATTTTAGGGACCAAAAGAGAACACACAGAGTAGTTCCTGTCTTTGAGAAGTTTATGCTTAGTGTGAGAGGCAGGTGGTTTTGTTGAGAATGGCAGGAAGCATAGAACTCAGAGGGACCACAGATGTGAGATGTTGGCCAAAGGGATTTTAACAGAGGAGGCAAGTTTGAGGTAACCTTGTTTTTACAGGATCAGCTGTTGAATCTAGTTGTTCCTGTTTTGAATTCCATGTCTGCTACTGAAGAATTACATGACTTGATTATATATGTCAGTTAAATTACCTACGTAAACTATATATTTTTTCTCACTTGAAAAATTATGGTGATAATGCTCTACTAATATTACAAAGTTTGAATAAGAAAAAGTTAAGAATCATAATAAGTGCTCATTAAGTTAAAACTGTTGTTGCTACAGCTGTTGTACTTGCTTCTGTTGTGACTCTTGTTTTGAAAGGTGAGTAAGGTTAACCAGATAAAGGGCATGAGAAAAACAGCTTTCAGAGATCTTAAAGATTATGTTGAGATTAAAATGCATAATAGTAAGTATGTAAGCAGTCATGGGTCCTGGTTTTTGTGCATTATCCCCTGAATGATGCCTTGCTTCCAGGGTCATTTTGGTTCATTTGCATCTTTCTCTTGTTTTCCCCCTTCCCCCTCACGCGCCCTCCCCCCACTCCCCATTTCCTTTCTACTTCTTGAACTCTTACTTTGAGGACATTCCTCACTTCTGTAATCTTTTCTGCCTTCCTCTGTTACTGTAAATGTAAATGACAGATTTACTGTTCTCCTGACCTCTTTCCTGGATTCCTTTAATTGAATCTTACTGGTCTCAAAATTTCTGCTTGACATGTTCTTCTACTGTTAACTTGTTCTATTTCTCTTGTTGATTTTAGGAAGAATAGAAGGAAAATGCTCTAGATTTGTCAGATTTTGACTTTGCTAGGCAGTAATATTTAAGAAAACTGCCAAACTCACCGTGTACTACATGTCATATAATAAAGGGCTTTTTTAACATAAAGGTTTAGAATTTGAAAGTATATAACTTTGAAACTAATGTAGTGAGTGAAACTAATGTAGTGAAACTAAT